CCAGCACCCCTGCCACTGAAGCCAGGCTAGTGGCAGGGGATGTATGCCCCTGACTGCAGAGGTCAGCGTATTAGTAAAGCCCACCTCAGAACTCAGTGGTTCTGACAAAAATATCCGCTAGTGAAGCCAAATGTAGCAGGAACAATGATGTGAGCAGGAGCTTCTTGATTCACAGCAGCTCTATGTGCTTGAGGTATCAGTCAGGAGCCTCAGCAGGTGCCCGCAGAAGGCACCACATCTGGACTTACCACGAGGGACACCTTTGGTTTTGCCTTGCGGTGAGGAGCCCATGACCCACACACCAGCATCAGTGGTGCCTCCAGGAGATATGCAAACAAGACCGCGTAGCCCTGCAGAAGCTGTAAGCAGGGAAAAAGCAGGGAATACTGGCACACAAATGGAGAAGGTCATCAGCATGGCATCAACCTCAGCCCAGAGACCTCACATGCTTAGTCAGGGCTCATGTTGGACATATTTTTAGGTGCAGGAGGCATGGTTCTTCATGATGTTATGTGTCTTACCTTGTTTGGGAAGGGAAATTTGCTTTGTTCTGCCTTTCCTGGTGTGTGAATAGCTGACAGTGGCGGAGGCCATGAATGGGTCATCTCCTGTAAAACAGTATTATGCAGCAGACTGTGTTTAGAAAGTCAATGGAATAGGAGACAATGACAGTTTATCAGTAGCAAGAGTGCCCGGGTAGTGGAATATTTAAGTTACTGCAGCTTCTAGGAAATGCCCCGTTTACATATAATCTAGACAATACATGAGCTACATTGATTTTTATCACAGACTCTTGAGAGCAGCTCTTAAGCACCGTTTCATTTTCCTGAATAGTTAATGTATCTTAAATGCAAGAAGTTTGATTTTTCTGACAATCTGCAACCACATTTTAATCATGCAATCTATTCTGGCTGGTGAGAGTAACAGAAGAACTTTTTTTGTAGTATGGGAACAGAAATTTCAATTCATGGTCAAGTAATGGGGTACACACTATGGCCTAATCACAAAATAGATTTCACAGACAAGGTCAGAATGATAAATGCTTGACACTTGACCAATGGTTAATTCCTAAAATTGCCTTTACTGTTGTAAAGAAGTTGAATAAGTTCCTAACTGCAAGGTGTTTGTGCCTTGTAGGACATAGACACGTGGCAAACCCTAAACAAGGTGTACTGCACTCCACCTTTGTCTCGTTCCTGTGTTGTTCTGAAGGACATTTTTTAATAGCGTAGAGACACACATAGTTTGACCTGACTTGTATGCAGTCATCCTCAACACAGCTTCAGGTAGCTCAATACCATCATTATTCAAGCCTGAATGAGTAGATCTCCAAAGCAAGGCTGCTTTTGGGGAGGTATAAATTAAACACTTGAGACCAGAAGTTTGTTAAGAGAGAGGCTTCATATTCCCCTCTAGTGCAGGTTGCTAAAGGATGGACATGTTTTTTGACATGTTCAGCACCAGCAGTCATAATATTTGGTACACACTAACTTGACAGAATTAATAAGAGAAGTAGTGCGGAGCACGACAACCCTGAAGAGCCGTCCCATAAGTTTCAAGAGCTGAAGAGCAAATAACATCCTGCCTGAGCAGGGGGCTCGCTGACACTATCAGGTTTGTCTGACAGATGCTTTGCTGGGTTTTGATACCATTAGCTGGCTGTGGAATTGTTTCTCAGTGATATTCCACGGAGTCGTGCTGAGATCCACGACCAGTCCCAAAATAATACCGTAGTTATATTTCCATGACTCATTGCTTTTTAAAGAGAAAAGAAAATGTTCTTGTTTGAAAAAAGGTGCGGGTGAGTCTCTTGCCCATCCTTCGTTAGTGCTGATGGAAGTGCTTCCTGAGCCGGTACAGACTGCACTGGGGCATATTTACATAGAGGAAAGTCTCCGGCTGCTCTGCCAATGAAAGGATCAGCCCTTTCAACATAGTTTATTAGTAATAAATGTCACCTTTAAAGCATTCTTGATAAACAGTTTATTTCCTAATAAAAACTGCATTCTTTTATTTTATTTGAGGCTAAAAAGTTACATGATTTATCACACGTCTGTAATCTATGTGCGTGCCTCTAATCAGGGCATCATCTGGTTTGCAGTTTCAGTATCAGAACTGCTTTGCTTTTCAGTTCTTTGAGGCAGATTGTTCATCTTATGACTTCTTTATCTGATAAGTGCCAGCAATAGGAGTATACAGCAATTTTTAATGTACAGTAAGTTCTTTAAACTCAGGCAACAAAAACCACAGACAACCAGATTGCTGTTTGCCGCAAGCACCTGGCACACACAGTATTGTTTTCAAAAGATTAAGGAATTGCATATTGAAAAATATTCCAACAGTAAAAGTATATGAGAATAAATTGACAAAAAGGAGGTTTGCAATGTGGACATTTAGCCATAAGGCTGTGATCTAAAAAAGTATCGCTTTCTCACGTGCTTTTCTCTGCTTTTCCCTTACAGGACCATTTGTTTACCTTCTAGAAAATGGCATGTTGTGCATAAAGACTAAAGCTGTTTCCACTGGTAAAACCCCTTCCCAAACAAATAAAGTATTTTTCCCTGCAAGTTGAGATGCTGAGCTCAGAAGTGGGGAAAAAAATGAATGAACTATGTGTCCCTTTCTTCTGAAAGTCAATGCTTTACGTTATCTCTGTCAACTGAAGAACTGGGGCAGCTAGGCTGGGAACATCTGGTGGCTTTGACCTGAGGTTCTCCTAGCTGTGAAATATGCTGTTCAGTACTTATGATTTCCATTTGCCCAAGAAGCAGTTGCTCCAGGATATACGGTGGCTGACCCCCACTGTCACCTCCAGGGAAACATCTTCTGAGATGTCTGCTACATGCCATGCTGTTACAGCAGCAAAGCTCTTCCCTCCCACCTTTCCCAAGTCTGACAATGACACCTTCATCCAGGGAAAGGACCAGAGGGCTGATTAAAAATAAGGGTGACCTTTTTTTTTGACATGTCAAAATCTTTCATTTTTTCTTTTCCCCATGATTACTTCTCATCCACACTTCAATGAAAAATGGCCTTAATGGTCTTTTTTTTTTTTCAGCTAGCTTCTCTTCTCCCTTTTTACTTTGAGTTGTGGTATATAATAAAGCTTTCTACATAATTTAAATTTGACATAACCCTTTCTGACACAAAGATTTAGTAAGACCACTGATATTTGCCAGGGTTAATAATTGCCATTATCACGAATATATGAATTCACTAGAATAATACTTTGAATTGTGATCATATGGTGTATTTATAACTACCCTTTAGTATTCAGATAATTATAAAATGAAATCAAATTACAAAAAAAGAAGTCAGAAAACTAACATAAAAAATACCCCAAACTATACACTGTCACCACTGAGGAGTGGTAAGATTTAAATGCAGTAAAATATATCTCAAAAAGAGAAACATTAAACTATGTGCATAGTCTCCTTTTGACTGCCAAGAACAGAATATCAAAGATCAGGAGAAAGGATTTAGGTGTCCAGCAAGTGTCAACACTTTGCAAGGTCAAGCAGAAACAAATCCAGAATATGCAGCTGTGTGCCAAATCTCATGATTTTAGACTCTGAAGATATCTGAGACAGATTAAAAGCACTAGTGGTGACATACGATTATATCAAGATCTTTTTTTAGTACATTATGTGAAATGTTTGAAAATGTAAGCCCAAAAGGCAGCTATCTAACTAACTAAACAGAAAGGACCCAAATTCTGTTGTTAAAATAAACTTTTGTGCACACCTCCTTTTTTCCGCTCAGCTAACTTGCCTGTCTTTGGAGTCTGGGATTGGCAGTATTGGCATAAAGCACCCACTGGACTGAAAACAATGTTTCAAATGGACTGATGAAAACTTAACTGTACTTAAGATACTCTGCACCCTCCTATTGGTGTTAGAACATTGATTTACACAAAAGATTTTTGAAACTAGAAAGAGAAAAAAGCAGGGATTCTTTTCAGCATAATGGAACAAAAAAATATGTCCAAAACACCTTGCAGCGGAAAATTTCAGCCACTACAAGATAACGGTCTAAATTAAACCTCATTTAGATCTTTCTCCAAACTCAATGAAGTTAACCATAAAGTCCTGAACAATGTTAATTAAATGAGGCACTGAGAAGCCATTTGGCGTCCAGATGCAGGGAAACCAAAGATTTCTGGATCAAAGAATGAAGACCGGACTAGACTGCTGAAAGACACATGTGGGTAAGCACGTGTGCCCAACTGCAAGACAGTCTGTTTGAAACGACGACGACTGCCCTTGTCCTCCTGTGGCCAGATGCACAGGATCGAGGGGCAGCTCTGAGACCCCCTCTTTTCTTTAACACACGTTTCTCCTTGTGAGCGTTGCCTCTATGTTGTTTCAAAGTGACATCTTTTTGGTGGTGGTGACGGCATGCCTCATTCACACACATATTGTAACTCTACAACTCTACTCTTCTCCACCTGTAGTAAATCAGTTTTCAGCAGTTATACATAAATGTCCAGTTTTACAAGCTATAAAGGTCCAAGCCTAGTTAATCTTAGTCAATGTGCCAACTTGGCTTTTCTTCTTACTGAAGGGAAAACCTTCAAATAAAGAAATCTACAGTATTGCGTATCCTTGCTCCAAATTCAGTTTCCGCAGCAACAATTAAGTAACGAGACATTTCTTGTGGATTAATGACTGCTTGGCAGTGTTTTCTTTGGGTCTTTTAACCCTAGCTTGTAGGTAATTTTTCAGGAAAAGTACCATGCAGAGGTAAATAACAGTATTCACTCTCAGACTTAAGGCAATGCTATTTATCTAGTGCCATCAATCTTGCTGTGTGGCACATGATACCAGGAACGGTTGAACTGAGTGAAAAAAACTGTAATTAATAAAAAGTAGGAAGACCAGTATCATCTAGATTTAAAGTCTAGCAACATGTATTATCTTGCTGTTCATTCACTGCCAAAACCAGAACGTAACATCGGGCCATTAAGAAAATTGACTGCTTAATCCTCCTCTTTGCTTGTGCTCACCTAGCCAATTTTTGATTCATAATATTTTGTCTCTCCACAGACGATGATTTAAGAAATGTTTGTAGTATCTTGTAAAGGACCCTGTCAAACACCTTTTGAAAATTACTTTAGCTGGCTCAACTTCATCCACTGCTCTACTGACATGTCGCTGGAATTATAGGAGATTGGTTGAGACACAATTTTCCTTTGCAAATACTCTGGTGGTTCACTCACAGGGACTGCAGAGGCTCTTTCTTTGTAGTAAGCTACACTAAAATGCAGATTTTAGAGAAGCATTGAATATATTTATTCAGCTGGAAGTCAAGGCAACACAAAGCTAATGCAGAGCTTTCCAAGACCCTTTAGCAAGTGATCACAGGACACAGTCTGAGAACCTCTAATCCAGTTACTCTACTGCCTTCATAAAATATGTTTTTTTTTTTTAACACAGGAGACTCTCTCTTTAACCGCTGTCAGTTGGCAAAGATCCCTTTCAGTTCAGTGAAGCTACACTGCCACTAGCTGACAACATGGCTATGATTTTTAGTGTCAAACATCCAAAGCAGAGTCTGACACTGAAACTTTCGGAGACTACGTTGAAGCTGACAGGATTTCACTCTGATA